TGAGATTTCGAGAGAAACTGTTGCTTCAGTTGTAGAACAGGAACAAAAAGTTGTAGAGTTAAAAGGGAAAAATTGTTTGAAATAATTCAAAATGTTTGTTTTTTGTTGGAATTTAAAATGAAATATTTTTTGGTTTTCATCAATTTTAAAATATGTTTGGAGAGAATTTTTTGATGTGCTTTTGGAAAATTATCCAATGAGGATAATTGGAGATTATCTAATGAGGTGGATTTTAAATCCCCTATTTATACATACATTACTAATCAATCATTTCTGTTGAAAATGTTGTCATTTTGTCTTCAAATTTCAATGATTTTCCAATTTTGCACAACAATGTCATTTAATAACACATAATTCAATGAATTAAACTATTGTTTGGCGTCAAGCTATTAATTTACTAAAATTCGCATCAAATGGGAAAATCAAATGTATTGAAACCGAGCCATAACAGAGAAAATCCACGAAGGTTAGACAACAATGTTAAAATAAATGCTTTGACAAGATTGCCATGGAACGAATGCTGAAACATTTCAAAGCGTTGTGCCTGAAATCAACAGAATTCAACTTACGTCATATAATTTTCATTTTGACACATTAACTCTCTTTACCATCCACGTACAACTACTACCATATACAACTTCATACGTAAGTCGTCGAGTATAATTGATTAAAATCCCATTTGCAGCACAAAAGCTCGCACATTTCCTTTCAAAAATTTTTTTTTCTCCCCTCTTCTTATTTTAATGCGAATGTGACAGCCGCGAATACGATAAGCAAATTTATGGCAATGGCATTGAAAAGTGTAAGAAAACAAATTACAGCAGTTATTGTTGTGAGTATACAACTGTGTACACAATAAAAATTGTTAGTATGAGCAGAAATAAATGTTTTTTAAAGGCATATTAATTGCTGTGTACGGAAGGAATTTGGAGACTCCCTCGTGGTATGGCGAACTTTCTTTGTTGGCATTGGATTTGAATTTGTGGAGCACAGAGAAGCCCTGTTCGGAAACTAAGAAAAGTTTTTATTGCGAATTTTATGACAAAAATAGAATTTTTGATGACTTTAGCTTTAATGGTTCCCAACTCTGCCTTAACAAGCTAAAAATACGAAATTCTTTAAGGCATTCAATGCGTAGTGGCAATTAACGTTTTGAAAAATTAATGACCTTGTCTTCATTAAGGTTTAAGGATCAGAAAATAATTACATCATTTGTACAAGTCCGCGAAATGTCGGAAATTTTTCTGTTATTGATAAGAAGTTTTGAATAATGTTAGGGGAATCGATTAACGGTAATTTGACATGAAACGATGGAGGTTGAGAGATGTTTGGGGTTGATTAAGTTGTTGCGTAATTCTTAGCTTTTTAACTTCCAAAATTTCAAGTTAAGAAAAAATTATTTCCACAAAACAACTCAATTATTCACTTAAATTCCTTCATATTTTCAAGTATTTTCTACAATAAAGGATCGGATTTCTGTGTTCTTGTTTCTTCGAAAAGAATTTACTCATCTTTTGTGGAGATTGTAAAAGGTAGATTGTTGATAATTATTGTATTAAATGAAAGTGAAAAGGAATCTGTTATTTATCTTCTAGGAAAAGAATCCAAACCCTTAAAGTCAAAGCATTTCTAACGACTTTTGAATTAGAAACTCTTTAAAGTTGATTGAATTTTAAAATGTTGGTTTCAAGAATTTTTTTCGAAATTCTCCACCAAGTCATTACCCCACGTTAAATTCCAACCCACCATCTCCACAAAAAGTTCAACAACACAGCAAAAATTACCAAATAATTCAGCAACATCAATAAAACCTCCACAACATCAATAACGGCAGACACAATCATCAATAATGCTAGCGTAATTTTATAGCATCGAATTACGGAGAGCGAATTAAAGTGTAATTAATTAAATCGTTGAAAATTAACGAGTTATTTAATCTTTAAAATCTCCCCTGAAAAATTTTTCTATTAATTATACACGAAAAACAGCAAAGAAAAGTTTCAAATGAAATAGGAAAGGACACTTGATACTCTTAACGTTGGACGAAAAAGCATCGCAAGTTTTGATTTTCCGATAATGAGGATCAAATAGCAACACTTAACTGACGCAATCGCGAAGGTAAAATCAATTATCAACCATTAAATTTAACATTGGCAAGTCAACCTTTTTTCTTTGGCTATCAAAAATTTTTTAATTCTTTCTTTTTAAAACAGAAAAAAATAATTTAATTCAATTAAAAATTGCAAAAAGTATTAACAAGGGTAGACGTGGGAAAGCCTCCTCCTCATGCTTGTTGGTCCTTTCAATTCCAATGATAAAGTTTATATTTTCTTGTGATTAAATCCAATTTTGCAATTTAAGAACATTTAACAATAAAACGAAGGTGAAAGAAGGAGAATAAATTGGAATTTCATGGTGAGAAATAAGTATTGAAAAGATGGAAAGCGCATTTTTTGCTTACCAAGATTCAAAACAGAAAAGAAGTTTCGAATTCATTAGGACAGTTAATGGATGGGATATTCTTGATGAGTTTAGACTTATAAAGGATTTAGCTTTATGCTTTCCGTGCTGATTGATTTTAAGCTGATATTTTGTGTTATTCCTCGTGTTAACTTGGCAATCCACCTCCTCATCTTTCCTTTTACTCTTATTACCCCCACAGAGTTATTTGTTTCGTACAATCGGATTTAATACGACAGAGGTACTAGCTTGATTTCTTTACCAAATTTCATATCTTTTTGATTAAAAAACTTAAAATTACTTAATCAAGCTTGTCAGCATTTCCCAATTTTAAACTTCTCAGACCCCTCATACCCAGTAAATCGCCTTAAACTCTTAACAAACTCTTCTATGCTCGCGCTCGTAATTTATTGTGCCTTACGGAAAAAAATTCTTAACATAACAAAAAGTCAACAAAATAAGAAGCAAAAAAAAGAAAAATTTGTTGACTTTTTTATTTACAATTGTCACATAAAAATCCACAGGGACTTGAATTGTGTGCTTATGCTCAACATTTGTTCAGCACAATAAAGCATAAACTAGGTCGCGTTATCAGACAAAATAGCGGGAAATATTTTTCAGGTACAGAAATTTTCTCGCGTGTATTTATTGTCAACTTTGAGAATGTTTTATGTAAATTTGATTTTAACAAAAAGTCAAACATTTTTGTGACGTGCGACAGCCGTAAAAGTTTTTCGGTCAGAGAGTTTTTCTAGTGTAATTAACTTATTAATGAGTTTTGAGATATTTTTTGATTTCTTTTTTATTTTGTGATTATTATGAAAAGTTTTGTTTTCTGCTTTTTTATGACTTATTTATTTATGCTGTTTTGTCAGGATTAATATTTCCCTTCCTTACTTTTACTTCGCTGGCCGTACTGAGGAATTGTGAACCATAGCTTTCCAAATATTTCTCTATTGAAAAAATTTCTCAATTTAAATGAATATTTTTGAATATGAAATTGTTCTCATCGCAAACATTAACAGGAAGTCAGTTTTGACAAATGAAAAGACCAAAGGAAATTTATGATAGTTTTTTATTGTATTGTTTGCAATAATTTTGTATGTGATGAAAAACTAGAGTTGAAATAGCTTGATTTTGAATTTTTAAAAGTTATAAAAAATAATTTTTGTTTTTAAATTTTAAATTTAACAAAAATGCAAAAAAATTAAGACCGGACAAAATTGAGATTTAGGATCCCTGTCCCTGGCAGAATTTCTATAAATTTTTCATAACATTCAACAGTCAGTGTTCTTTGGTATATTTCAGTCACAAAAAAAGCATAAAACTGAGAGCAAAATTTATGGCAAATGCGAAATATCATTAAAATGTATTAAAAGTGTCAACAAATAGTCATCAAACTTGGAATGAAAAATTTATGTTTATGCTATGCTGGCTGATGAAGAACAACAAAATTGAAAATTTTTTTTTTAATTTTCTTAAAGCTTTAAATTTAATTTTTTGAACTTTTTTAAAAAAAATTAACTGTAACTTATGGACGATCCTTAATCCATCAATTTTATTTCAACGACAAATTTTTTAATTAATCCACTTCTTAATATCCACCAATCTCATCCCATTTCAAGGCCCAACATTCAATGAAAAATTCTTCTACACATTTAATTAATCTCAGTGAAAAATGATCAACACGAAAAAAAGTTGAGCAGCAATAAGCTTCTCATTCACATCAGATTCACTCGCAATTAGTCATTATCCATTTGTTTAATATTGAAAGCATTCAGGCACGAATTGCTTGTCGTTTTGTTTATGAGCACCATCAACATGGAATAAAAAATCGATTTTAATATTCTTTGTCGACTGTGGATAAGTAGAAGCTGATGATTTGAGTTTTGTAAGGTATGAATGGATTTTAAGGTTGGATTAAACGACAAGCAATTAGGAAGAAAAATATTAGTCATTATATCTGTGATTGAATATAAATTTTTGGGATATGCAGGCAAATATTCAGGTTCGTGGTCTTCAGGGGTGAGTTGTTGCTTAAATGTTAACAACGTATTGACACATCAGGTGAGAGATCCAAGAAAATAGCCTAGCGCGAGCTCATAAATATCACTTTAAGGACCTTCTAGACTATTCTCTCGGCTAAACTCTCAAGAAGGTGTTGACATCCTAATATAAATTGATAAACCAGCACTAGCAAGAATTCCAATTTACCAATTTACCATAACAATTGTCAACTCAACAACCAAAAATTGACAATGAATATTTTTTGCAGCATAAACATTTTCAATTATAAAATTGAATTACAAATTTTCAAACAATTGAATATAAACTTCCGACTGAACAAAACCAAATTGTCAATAAGCAAAATTCCCATTCATGCTAATGTGATTTGGGAAAATTGAACAATTATTTTTTTAGTGGAGATGTCTCTAGTTCAGTTCTAGTTACTTTAATAAAACCGAATATCGTTGGCTTTTGAATTAATTTAATCTATATTATAGTAAATCTCAATTAAATTATCGAAAATCAAAACTTACCATTGTGTCAAAACTTTCGAATCAATACTGAACATTGAAGTGTTCTTGCCTCCATCAGGTCCACCAAAACGCATGTCATAGCTGTCAGTCTCCATGCTTATGTATTAATTTTCACTTCTAAACTTTGACTTTTTTTCACAAAAATATTTTCTTTTGTCTTATTTAAAAAAAATTGTCAATCACTTTAACGTGAACATTTTCATGTTAATCATGATTTAGTCACGGATATTAATGAATATCTTATCATAATCCACTCATTCTTCCCCTTTTTCTGTAAAGGACACTTTTTTATCAACGAAAGTTTTTCTTGCTGACAGTTTTCGTTTAATAAACTCACGTTCAACGCGGGGATGAAAAGTTTTTTTTTTTGCTACTGTCTCACTGTGCTACTCAAAATGACAAGGATGCTGATGGTAAAGATGAAAAGTTGATAAAAATTTCTGAAATGAAAAAGATGAAAAAGTTTTTTGTTTAGTTATGTTAAAAAGTTTTAAAGAATTTTCGGTATTGACAGGCATTTAAGTAGGTTTTGTAGGATAAATAGGCAGCAAATAAATCTGTAGAATCCAAGATTTTCAAAATATTTGTTTAATTTTTTTCTGTGTTATTTAATTCATTTAAATTCTCTTTAATTACTTAATGAATATATTTTTATTACTCCTGATTATAAACCTACACATCCTATTACATCAAAAAGAATCAGGAAAATGGGAAAAGGAAACAAAAGTTTGATGAAAGAAGAAGCAAAATTGTTCATATCTTTCAACTTGAATAGCTTTTCTTGTACGTTGATTCGAGATTGATGAACTGAGAGAAGTTTTTTCTTATTCTTTTGTTTAATTTGTGGAACTTAAAGTATAATTTGATAAATGGACAAAACTGATGAATTCACAATTGAAGAGTTTCGGAAATTTTATTAAATTAGTTTGAAGATTTTTGTGGGATGTAAATTAAAAGTTGATGAATTAAATGGTGCAGTTGGTGCAGGATATTGTTGTAAGACTATAATGTTAATCAAAGACCTTCTTCCTGATAATATTAACACAATTAATTCTGGTTTTAAACTTTAGCAATCTCAACCAGAAGTAACTATAAATAAAAAAGTATATAATTTCACATGACTTCATCTTAGTTTCATTATAATTAGCATATGATACATAATATGATCATAACTGAACTCATGCCTTCATGACATAATTTAGATTGCATCTTCCAGTACCAAGGAAATTCAATTTATATGCATTTCAAGCCAAACATATTCAGATTCTTAAGAAATTAAGTTTCCTTATGAATAAGCTTCTTCAAAAACATGAACAATTCCACAAAATGTATTTAAGAAAATGTTCTCAAGAAATGAAATTTTTCTGGTCTTGAAGAGCACTTCCCATACAAATTCTAAAAACTGTTAAGCGTTGTAGAAAGAGATTTGAGATGGAGAAAAAAGTACGACTGTCAATGTCAAAAAAAGAGCATTGCAAGAATATTTTAATCTTCTGGAATAAAACATGTGAAATTTGAAAACTGTCAAAAGGTTAAGTTGGAAGAATTGGTCTTTCTTTAAACAGAAATGTGCATATTTCAAGGAGAGGAGATTTCAGACTACCTTGGCTTGTTCTCGAACTCAATGAGTCGAAGTTTGTTCATTATTGATTCATATCGTCGATTTTCATTTAAACCTTCTAAATGTCTGTCAAGATAAACTTTCAAGTTAAAGAACTGCTTTAAAAAATTCCAGAAAGCCACCCAAACATCAACCACAATTTCCTTCCGCAAAAACGTTTCCCAACAGAATTTTAATCCCCAAAAAAATACAGAAAAAAACTTTTATATCTCAACTTGATCTGCATCATTTTGATGTAAAAATGTGAAACATCATAGCCTGTTTAAGCGGAAATGATAAACAAAAAAAAACTCTGTGACAGAATGGAAAGGTATCAAAATTTTTCAATGTTTCACAGATAGGGAATATGAAGAATGAAATTGTGTGCAAAATAATGTTTTATATCACATGTCAGCAGACGTCTCCTGGCAATTCTCACACTGTTGGTCTCATAAATATTATGTCTGTGTCTTTATTGATTCTTTCAAGGAATAAACTTTTATCTTGAAAATTGAGAGAAATTTTAGGAACAACTTGTAAAAAAGTCATTGTGGGTGGAAAATTTGCTGTCAGTTTGAATTGTTCTCAACTTGTGGCTCAATCGAGTGGTTGATGTCTTTATCATCGATACAATTGGGAAGAATAATGTTATTGGTGGCAAGGATGTTCATTTTTATTTGGAATTGGGATATTGAGTTTGGTTTTTCTATATACACCGAATGTGAGGTAAAAGATGCATTCCGGAGCTAAGAAATCAGCAAAAGATATTTTTAAAGAATCTTAAAAAATTCTTTAAATCAAATTTTTTTCAACAAAACCAAACAAAAAGGATTTTGTGGGGAAAAAATTCAAAAAATTTCTTATTCTTTGTTTCCACTTCATCCTTTATCTTATGAATGAAAATAACTTTTTTTTCCATTCCAGATATTTTAGCAAACAGAAATGTCTGAATGAAGTACATCAGAAGATTTTCAAATGGTTGAATATTCTTTTATCCTTTTTGGATTATTCTGTGTGGCTTTTGTGGTGCTTTAAGAGTTAAAGTAACTAAATCTGACTTTAATGATGAATAAAGCATTGCCGTATTCGTAGCTAATTGATAGATTCATTAATATTGAAGTAAATTAGGTGAAATATCTTCTTATGAAATGATCAAGGCCGAAAAATAAGAAAATGTGATACATTTTGCTGCTGTGTGGGCTGCTAAATAGATTTATTAGATTTTCGGTAGCATGAATAAATGAATATTGTCATTGAACGCTTACAAGTGAGAACCTTCAAAAGATAGACTGCAAAGTATTATGAATAAAGTCTTTGTACTGATGAAAGAATGTTTAGAAAGAGTAACCCTATAATTTATGACTACTGGAGCTAGTTTGTAAAGAATGACTAAGCATGTTTTCAATGTGACTCTAATCCTACCCCTAATATCACACTTTTTCATATGTCAAAATTATTTTGAGATTTTTAAAGCTAAGTTGGGAATAAAATCAATTTTAAAGTTCATTCAACCTTTAGATCCACACCTGCATCCCCTAACATTGCTCCACTTATTTACATCCCTAAAAAACTTGGCATTTAAAACTCAATTTTTCTCTCTCTAAATAAGCAGACATTTAAATGAGCTTTAATTAAATCTGTCTACCTTTTTTTCTCATAAATACACCTTGAAGATTTAGGAACAGCAGAAATAAATTCGTTTGTGAATCACCAAAATTTATTTCTTTTGTGAAAAGAAAAGAAGGAAGAAATGAAAGATAAGTAAACATTTTGTGGACACATGAAAGAAAAGAAACTTTAAGGAGAGTCCTTAAATTCTTTTTATTTTTCATTTTCTCTTCTTTTTATGATTATTTGTTCCTTCCTGAGCTTCTTTTCTTTTTTAATTTTTTTTGTGAGGCTCTTAACATGAAACAAAATAATTAAATTAAATTAAAAAGTCATAAAAAATGTTTTGTTTCTGTTTGTTGAGGAGAATTCGCTGTGAATAGCTACAAAATGGATAGTCTTGATTGTAAATTAATTAAAATGTTTAACTTGCAAAATTCATTTAAAATTTTTGAGAAGTTAATTTTTAAATATTTTCAAGAAATTCATTTCAATTTAAGTCAGCAGTAACATCCTTATCAAAAAAATCAATCAATTAACTAATTACAGCAACGAACAAAACACAATGAAGACTAACGTCATGTCTATTCAATTTCAAGACAGACAAAAAAAAATAAGCACCGAAAAAAAAAATCTTCAATTCTTCTTAATTTTCAATTCAAACATCTGGCGTAAAAGTTAATTAACTTAATTTAAGGAACAAAAAAGGCTTTTTGCGTTATCACTTCACTTCTTCTTGGACACTCTTTTTTATGAAAAATGTAAATTTTATCCTTAGACATTTTTTTAAAGCATCTCATCTACAACAAAAACTGTCCTTAACGGAAGAGTCCTTTCTTTTTTCTAATTTCGTCATCGCTGCTGGCAATAATTGGTTTGAAATTAATTTATTTTTTCTTACTCGACGCTTTGAAAAGCGAGAATAACAGAATGACGGAAAGGAAGGAAGTAATGAAAAAATGAGGAAAAAATAATAAAAAATTGTTTTGAAAGGAAAGAAAAATGTGAACGAGTTGCGTGGATATTGGAAATGAGTTTGTTGGACGCTAAGGAATTAGGGCAATTTTGGTGTGTCTGATTGTAAAAATTAAGGATTTGTTGTTGTAGATTTTAATGGATTGAATAAAATTTATTAGAATTGTTCGTGTACTTTTCAAACTTTAAAGAAATAGCTCGAAGACATCCGAATAAGTTTCAATTTCGATACAAAAATATTTACATTCAAATATTTACAGTCTATCAATTTTGAAACCTCTCAAAATATATCAAGACTCAAGCTTCAACCTCCCATCACCTCACAAACTCATTTCTCGTAATTTAATTGTAAAGTTCTAAAAATGAACTTAATCTTCGTCCACTCAACCTTGTTAATCTGAACTCTTGAATTCAACCGTAATTCTATTTTAAAACTTTTCTCGGCAATAAATTTACAATCAGCAAATCCAATTAATCTTCAAAAACATTGTTGAATTCTTTCTTTCCACAATCTGGATTGCACAATGTAAGTTTTATTGAATTGAAAGAAAATTGAATATGCTTTCACGTTTCCATCTGATAAAATGTAATTCCAATTCACTGTAATTTCATTAATTATGAAAAAATGATTATTTTTCCACTACGATCGGTTCTCCTGTCATTACTCAGTTTTGAAATGCAATATTAAAAATGTAAAATTACGCGATTGCATGGATGAACATTAAATGCATTTCAATATTGAATAAATGATGGATAGATATGATAGATTGGATAGAGGAAGTGAGTAAAAAGTGGAAAAATATTGTCGCGATTGAAAGATAAAAAAAAATTGTAGAGCAAAAAAACTTAATGCTGATGGAATTGTAAACAGATTAAAGATTTACCGGCAAGCACATCCAAATTATGAAGGATGCTAATATCTAATGACTACCAACATGAATCCTGATTTCTTTTCCATGGACGTTGACCTAATAGTTTCCTAAAATGCTAATTGCAAGCTTGTTTATCGCCAAATATCAATTTAATTGCTGAGGCCATAGAATCACATCAACATGTGTCCACCGGGTTTAAGATTGTTTATTGATCGATTTTAAATAAAGTGTAATCAGAACAATCCAGCATTATGTTGATTTTGAATCGATTGAATCCGATT